TCATGAGTATGCAATTTGTTAGAAAATATGAATGGAAATTTGAACTGATTGTATTTACATAGAAACAGTGATTGATAGCAAACAGATTCCTTATGTTTTCTAATCAATAATAATAAAAAGTGTTATAATTGAAGCATTTAAAATAACAAATTTTGAATTTATTTTTATTTGTGCTAATTTCAGAAGAGCCTTTATAAACCAGTAAGGCGCGGCGACACGCGCTGCACAGCTAATTAATATAAAGATTTGATTTACATAATACATTGATACATTGAACACCGTACAGTACTACGTACGTACGTACGTATGTATACCCTTATGAAACACCTCTTTGTGTTCTAACAAAAAAAAAGAAAAAAAAAGCTTTAAAATTTTAGCATAAACTAAACTTTATCTTAACTTTAATCTTTTTTACTATATCGACCTACAAATTATATCTGCGTTTTATACACTAGTGTAAATCAAGATTTTTTTTTTTTTTTTTTTTATTTTGCGGTAAAAAATGAACCAAACGGCCGTAGAACTCCGTGAGCTCGGAATGAAATACCAGTTCGGAATCGACGTCGAAAAGGATGAAAAAAAGGCCTTCGGATACTATCAAAAATCTGCACATATGGGTTATGCAATTGCAATAAATAATCTTGGATATTGTTATGAACATGGAATCGGAACTGAAAAAGATAAAAAAAAAGCCTTCGAATATTATTTAAAATCAGCCGACATGGGGTTCGATAAAGCAATCTGTAATGTCGGTAATTGTTATTCTGACGGAATAGGTATTAACAAGGATAAACATAAGGCATTCATTTACTATCAAAAATCAGCGGAAAAGGGAAACGCTAGTGGAACATATAATGTTGGATACTTTTATGAAAAAGGAATTGGAATTGAAAAGAACGAACAAAAGGCCTTTAAATACTATAAAAAATCCGCAGACATGGGACATGCTATGGGAACATGTAATGTCGGACATTGTTATGATGAAGGAATCGGTGTTGAAAAGGATGAACACAAGGCATTTATTCACTATAAAAAATCAGCAGAAATGGGAGACGCTGGAGGAGCATTTAATGTTTCATGTTTATATAAAGAAGGAATCGGTGTTGAAAAGAACGAACAAAAGGCATTCATTTATTGTCAAAAATCGGCAGAGATGGGGCACATTGAAGGAACATTTAATGTTGGATATTTTTATCAAAAAGGAATCGAAGTTGAAAAGGACGAAAAAAAGGGATTCGAATACTACAAAAAATCATCAAAAATGGGATATGCTGTTGGAACATATAATGTTGCATATTGTTATCATTATGGAATCGGAGTTGATAAGGATGACCAAAAAGCCTTCGAATACTATCAAAAATCAGCAGAGATGGGATACGCTAGTGGTGTAACTAATCTTGGTTATTGTTATGAAAATGGAATTGGTGTTGAAAAAGACGAACAGAAGGCATTTATTTATTATCAAAAATCTACTAATATGGGTAGTGATGATGGAATGTATAATGTTGGACATTGTTATGAAAAAGGAATCGGAGTTGAAAAGGACGTGCATAAGGCATTCATTTATTATCAAAAATTAGCAGAGATGGGACATGCTGGCGGAGCATATAATGTTGGTAATCATTATCGTAACGGAATCAGTATTGAAAAGGACGATTGCAAGGCATTTGAATATTATCAAAAAGCTGCTGACTTAGGCGAAGTTAGTGGAATTTCGTTTGTTGCCCGATGTTATCGAAACGGGATTGGGGTAGATAGAAATATACAGAAAGCCAATTTCTGGTATCAAAGGTAAAAAATATCTTTCGTTAAATTATGTTTAAAAATATTGATTTTAATTAAATAATTTAAACACTTAGATTTAACGAATCATTAATAGGTGAGTATGTTAAATTGTTAATTTAATTGTTAGTTTTTCTTCTAAATTTTAATCTTTGTTCTAGTTAAATATGACTACGCATTTAAACAATCTGATGTCGATGAATATTTGAAAAAAATTTTGATCGAACATAGATGCCAATTACCATGGATTCCTTATAATGAATTTAAGAATATTGTAAAAGTAGGAAAAGGTGGATTCGCGGTTGTACACTATGCCCGCTGGATTGATAAGAGCAGTAATATAGAACAATCTGTCGCTCTTAAAACACATCATACGTATGATACTAATCAATTTATTGAAGAAATGAAAATATATAGTAAAATCTCAGAGGCTAATCCATCATTTTTGAAATGTTTTGGAATATCAAAAGACTATAAAGGGAAATATGTCCTTGTTTTAGAATATGCTGCTATAGGATCTTTGAGTAAAAATCTTTATAATATATCACAGATGGACTGGAAAAAAAAGTTAAAGGTGTTACATTGCATAATTTTTGATCTTGAAGCAATTCATTCACAAGGATATATTCATAAAGATTTGCATAACGGTAACATATTACAAAATGAGTTGGATAATGCATATATCGCAGATCTAGGGCTCTCATCACCTTTGAAAAATGAAGACGAAGGTATTGTTGGCGTCTTACCTTATATCGCCCCCGAAATTTTGGACAAAGGTCAATATACTACAGCATCAGATATTTATTCGTTTGGAATGATAATGTGGGAAATTTTATATGGAATGTCGGTATCTTATAATCAAAAGTTTGCTATGCCGCAACTTCCAATTCAAATATGTTGTAATGGTTTAAGACCTCCTATTAATGAAAAAGCACCACAATGTTACGTGAATCTAATGAAAGAATGTTGGGATAAGGATCCAGAGAAACGACCGCCGGCGAAAAAGCTTTGCGACATTTTCAATAGATGGCAAGATGATGAAAATATTTTATTAGAATTGAGTAGATCTGAGACAAGAATTGAAAATATCGAAAAATTGCATTCGAGTATGTTTAGCGGAGGAAGTAAATTTATATCTAAGTCAATTTTAGACGTGAATAGCGAATTGCAATTTGGTATTCATTTATTTTAATAAACAAATATTATACACCGATCATGCCGAAATCAATAAACAGAATAGAGAATGAAAAATGACAGTTAATTCTATTTTGTTGACAATAAAATAAAATGATTATTTATATATATATGAATAAAATTCAACACTTACCGTCTATTAGTTTAGTATATGATAGCAGAATAAAGAACGAATAATTAATTTATTTAATTCTATTTTGTTGACAAGATTATATTTATATATATGAATAAAATTTAACACTTACCGTCTATTAGTTTAGTATAAGATAGCAGAATAAAGAACGAATAATTAATTTATTTATTTCTATTTTGTTGACAAGATTATTTATATATATATGAATAAAATTTAACACTTACATCCTGTATCATATGATATATCAATCAGAATTGCAAGATTTTAGTACCATTCAATTCATCTCAATTAGAGTTTCAATCCGGATAAATCCGTTATCCATTTACCCGCATTAACATAACCGGATATCCATCCATTTATGTTGGATATCCAAAACGGATTAACCGAATCATCTGAAGTATTAGGGAGAACCATTCTAGTATCACTACTCTAAAAAATTTTCCGGGCCAAATCGATTTCAAAATCAGGTGTTATGCAAAAAAAACATGAAAAATCAAAACAAACTAAAAAATCCTGTATAGTTCACGTTTTATCTATGAAATTACCTTCTGTGCACTAACAAAATAATTTCCTTGCGAAATTTTAACTTTATCTGCCAACTTTAATTTATAATAAAAATATATTCGGCTTAGTTTTTACTATGTATATCTTCTATGTATTTAAATTCAGATCCTTCACAAATGAATATTTTTATTCACTACAATGAATCTGACCTCAAAGAATGGTCTAGGATCAACACCACAATGATACATGATGAATCTGAAAATTCCCGCTATAAACAAAATACAAACTCTGGTGAATCTTCTCGAAAAGCTCTTTTTAGCTCTAGTTCTGATGCATCTCTCAATTACACTCGTTCAAATGTTTCATGGGAAGTGGCCCCGGTCACAGTATGAATACTAAAAGGTCAATGTTGAAATCAAATGATGATATAAGTTATCAGTATAACCATGAAAATTCATCTTTTAACAAAAATAAATGGACCACTTATCGACTATCAAGAGTGAAGAGCAAACTTTGTCGAATTCAATGATTCTTCTCACTATCAGAGTGACGCATTTTCACATAACATTCAATACCAATTAAATCTCAGATAAAACACAAGGTCTCCTCCCAGTACTCTTAAAACCTGGTCCAATGTTGCATATCGCTAGGTGGAGGTTCGAACTGAATTATCTAATCGAAGTGATTCAGATCCACCTCCATAGGAAGACTTTCGTATGATTAGTTGTTTAAATTAATTTAATTTTACATTATTTATACAGATTAAAGTACTTTTTTAAAAAAAAAATACAACTATGAAGAATAAACAAAAAAGAAGTATGATACTTCTTTTTTGTTTATTCTTCGTAGTTTTAGTTTTTTAAAAAGTACTTTAAACTTCAATTATCAGCCTACTACAAAATCACGTAGGCCTCAAGTTTCTGCAAATTCAATCGTAGATGTGATGAACATTCAATCTAATCCTTGAAGTGTTGCAACTTATAAAGACTGCGAAACAGAAGATATATATTATGATGATGGCGGTGACAATAATGATGAACCTGTTAATGAGATTGAGGAAAATCCTGTTGAAGAGCAGGATGAAGATCAAGAAGAGCTTAGGAAATTAATGTAGTTATCTTCAGATTCTAAAATTCAACACAAAGGTATGTCATTTATAATCTTCACATTTTGTTTTAATACTGATAAGAAATTATTATTATGATTTGCAAAATGATTGATCATCATCTAACAATCACAATCACATATTAATAACAATTACATTGTTATTAATATGCGATTGTTAGATGATGATTAATCAATGCGATTCAGAATTTTGCAAATCTCAATAAATACTTTCTATGCTGTTTTAAAGTTTCTTGATCTCAGAATTTCTAATAAATCATTCATGTCGATAAATGCTACTCTCACCGCCACTGTTGAAGACCAATCCAATAAAATAGCCAGTCTTACTTCATTTGAATCGATCGTTGCTTTGAAACAGCAGCAACTTGATCATATTATTAAGACTGAAGAATTACTGCATGTTATGTCTAATAAAATTTCTGAACAAGAAACGGATATTAAATCACTTAAATCTCAGATAGGAGAAGCTTCGTAAGTATTTGCGAATTTGTTTGACACTTACCCATATATATTTGACTTAATATTTTGTCTAAAACTTTGATAAACAGGAATAGTGATGAAAAACAAAAGTGAGTCAAATAATCTTGAATACCGAATCCGATTTCGATTCAAGTTTTTTCCTGGCAAAAGTTATTTTGCTTTCTTTATTATTATTTGAAACAATATTTATGTATCTATATTTTGGGAACATATGAAAATTATAAGGGTAATATGACCTTATTCTACGACTCAAAACTACTCTTTCTAAACTCGCTTCATCATATTATTTTTGATAGAGGTAATTATTTACTATTTTACTCTATTGTAAAGAATTTAGTTAATAACTTTAATTTATGAATGTCTTTATTGTACAGTAACTTATGATGATATTGCTCTCCTTTTTACTATGATAATATCACTACTTTATACCTTTCCAGTGATTGTATTAGCTAAACCAGCTAAACGGCTAGCTGAAAGGTCTAGAGCAAAAATTCAGAAAATAACAGGATGAATATATATATATGTGATGTATTTATTTATGATTTATTTTGATTGAACTTTTATAAGATTTAGACTTTTTTCTTTTTGTTCTAAACTTATTACAGCTACATACTATTTCCTACCACCACATTAATTGCCAAATTGTTTAAAATCACAGTTTATAACTTGACAGGCTATTATTTATTATGTTGTTGTACTTAATAAAGTGAAACGAAGCCCTACTCAGTATTAAAAAGCTACCATCGTAAGGCTATACAAATTTAATGTCTTAGTTTTATGATATGAGACTTTTAAATGAACATGGTCAGCCAACTTTTTTTTAAAAAAAATTTCACATAAGATTTTTTTTAAAAGTCCACCCGGCTATTATTGCAACAAGGACTCATTTAACTATCATTGCTGAAAAACAAATTGCGACACCAAATCATGTTCTTGCAAAAAAATGCAGTTGTGTTATATGTGGGGAATGCAAAAATATTTGAATATACACTTAAAGAATAAAAATTTGGCTAGTAATTAACATTGGACAAACATCTAATCATTTGTGAGTTGTAACATAAATATTGGGCAACATTTGTTATTTTCCCAGAATTTTTAAAAACAAACGTTGCTAGAGAAATAACTTGCATCACAAGAAACCCCATTTTTTTTATTGATTATAGTGATCATGAGTCGTAAAGCCCATTATGACATCTTATAAAAATGAATAATAATACCCTTATTCCCCACAAACAGAGAAATAACCCAGTAGATCTCAGCTCACTAGGGACTTATTAGGCCCAAATAACAGGAATATACCTTTTATTCTCACCATTGCAGGAAATAAATAGTACTTCGATCAATAAAATATTTGCCTCTGCATCGATCCTGATTAAAAAACAGTATATAATCTAGATAATTTATTGGATTATTTGGATATCCATCTATTTAACTCATCTTATCCAATTATTATTGGATATCAGATATTCAATGGATAAATGGATAAACAGTTTATGGATTGAAACTCTAATCTCAATGAGATGAATCAAATGATATCAATATCTTGCAATTTTGATCAATATATCATGTAATATCAATCATAAATGTTTATTTGCATTAAATTAGATACACCTGTCTTGGGTTATATTGGTTATATAGACATTTTTAAATAGAAAAGAAGGAAAAAACTTTTAGTAACTTTTTTTTAAATTTTAAATAAAATATCTCAATAACTACTAAATTAAATTAATAAGTTTTTTTATTTTAATTTTATAGTTTTATATAATTAAAATAAAAAAATTTATTAAATTTGGTTTAATAAGGCCATACAAATTTAATTTATTGATTTTCATAACATGAAAATTTTAAACTAACCTGGCCGGCCGGCTTTTTTTTTTTAAATTTCATATAAAAAAATTTTTTAAAATTTTTAGAATTTTTTTTTTAAAAATCCACCCGGTTAT